TTGCCTTCTGTTTTCCTGAGGTTTTCCATGGGAAATCGAAGTTCAACTTATGGGAGAAATGGGCCCCGTTCCTTATTTAGGGTTCCTTAGGTCAACGCCCCGACTGTACATGGCCTCGGCGGGCCTGGAGAGCGACCGGCCCAGCTCCCGAGGAGGCCAGCGCGGACCGGCGCCGGGGCGCACTGCCCCGGACGTCGCGCGCCCTCGCACCAAAGCTCTGCGCCAGTCTGCAAAAATGAGTTTTTTTTTATTCAAAGAATATATAGAAACAAACACGAACTTTTATAAGTATCCAATAGTTTGTCGCCAGAAATATATTTGACAGAATTTTGTTTTTTTTGCCGGCTTACTCTGCCTGTACCTTCAATGCCCCCGCCGCCGCTGCCCATAGCCAGCGCGTCCAACGCAGGGCGCCTCGGCCGCCTCTGGCGAGCGTGCTCGCCAGAGGCGGGAGCATGCCGTCGCGCACGCCGGCCCTCGTGCCTCTGGGCGCAGGGGGGCCGGCCGCCTCCCGGCAGGTGCGCGGGCAGGCCGTCTGTTGGGTGCACGCCCGCGCGCGCGCGCGGAGCTGGCGGACCAGCCTATGGACTGCAGTCAGCCCGCACAGTAAGGATGGGCGACCTTCCCAAGGGTACTCTTGCATCCTTCGCCTCTTTCGTTGGCCGCGCCCCGCTCGAGAAGCCTCGAGGTGGCCTTCTGAGGCCCTTGCATCTTTGTCGTGCATCCTCATGATACGGGCCGACTGAACAGATGCCCACAGTCGAAGAAGAAACAAGGCGATAAACGTAAACTTTGGGCGCTCCGCGCGGATTTCTTGGATCCGCGCTGGGGCCGCCCTGGCGGCGCCTCTGGCGCCGCCCCTGGCGCGCTCCGCGCGCCAGGGAGGGGGGTCCGGCGCGGATCCAAGAGATCCGCGCGGAGCGCCCAAAGTTCATGTTTATGGCGTTTCTCTTCTTCAATCTACTTTAGCCTGAAGCACAAAAAAAATCGAGCACCAAGACAGTAACGAAACTGGAGGGTTTCCACGTGTCGGGCCCTGGGAGGCGATACTCGTTCGACACTGTTTCGATACCTTCTTGGGTGCTCGACATGCTTTCTGAGCGCGATGGGAGCAGCATAGTTCTAACCGCGCATCTTTGTGATGCGGGCCGGCTGTACCGCGCATCTACGGCTGCATCCAATTTTTCTCCTTCGCCGCCAGCGTTGCTCGCCACGGCAGGCCTGTTTCACAGTTTCGCCGTCCCCACGAGCGGGGCGTGACGCTTTGAGGAGTCCGATCGGACCTTTGCTTGCTTGCTTGTGCGGGTGCCCGCACGCAGGGCGCTGCTTCCGAGGGCCGCCCCTTTGGGCTCCGGGGCGGGGTTTTCTGGGGCTCGAGCCGCGCCCCTCAGCCCGGGGCAGAGGGAGCCCGTTCGTGGCCTTAGGCGCGCCGCTGCCGTGCACATCTGGAGGGGAAAGAACACACAGACACAATTCATCGACGATTCCCAGGAAAATATGGGAAAATATGGGAAGTGGGGGGGGGAAGACAGAAACCCAGAAAATGTCGGAAAGTACGGGGACTATGGTTAATTGTGTTTATTTATTTGTGCGTTTGTGGGCCCCTTCAGAGCAGGGGGGCGAGAAGTGACGTGCGCACGAAAGCTCGGAGGCCCGCGCGGATTGCACGGATCCGCGCTGGACGCCCCTCCCTGGCGCGCGGAGCGCGCCATGGGGCCCCGGCGCCGATCCGAGAAGTCCGCGCGGACCTCCGAGTCTTTGGGTTCATGTCGCTTTCCCGTCCACCTACTGAGAGCCCCGTCGCTCGTCCTCTGGCGCTTTCTCTGGTGTTGCACGGTGACTGCAGCATGAGGCCGGGCACGTCTCCCTACAGCAGGAGCACTCAAAGATATCGCCAACATGATGATCTGGGGGCGACTCCTTTGTCACTGTGTGGTTGGCCACTTGGGGAATTATTCTTTGGGTATTTGCATTTTTCGCCCATGATCCGCCTGTAGGGGGCATGCCCGACCTAACCTTCAGTCGGGCCTGTCCCCCTACAGGCCGATCTTGGACGAAAAATGAAGCATACCCCAAAGATACCCTGAAAATGCTCAAAAATGGCAAAACAATTAGTCCCCAGATTTTTTTTTTCTTTTTTTTTTATACTATTTTCGAATCTTCCCCCTGTAGAGGGGCATTCCCGGCCTGCCTGCAGCATCGCGTGCCGCGGGCTCCTCTGCGCTCTCGCCGCGCTGGGCCGGAGGGGGTTGCCCAGATCCTCTGCCCCCCCCCCCGTCTTTCGGCCCCCCGTCGTCGCCCCTTGCCCTCACGTCCCCAGCCTCCATCACCTCCCCTTCCTCTCCTCGTGACGTCACTCGGAAACTGGAACATACTGTATACATTACCAGTGGCGGGCTGTTTTTCAATCAAAGGGTTTCTTGAGGGTCGGGGACGACGCTGGGGTGGCGCGGTGTATACTTTTTTCCCCGATGCCCCAGGGAAAGAGCGAAACATGTATACACCAGGGTTCCGTATACACCGGGATCCGCTCTCCAGTGCAAATTTCAGTGCAGGGCCGGAAACAGCGTCAGTGTATAGAGTTCGATTTCCTCGTCACTTCCCTCCTCGATTCCGCCGACCCCCCGACGAGGATGTGTGTGTGTGTATTTTTTGTTTGACGCTTCCCGTCGTGCCGCCTGCGTGTCGTGTCGGAGACTCGGGCCGAGCGAAAGGGGCGGACAGGGAAAATGGGTGCTACGAGATCTGCTGCATGCAGCTGGTTTGATGTCTGTTCATGGGAGCCTTGGGCGGCGACATTGAAATCTGATTTTCCTGCATGTGGACAGCGTGGGGACCGCATTTGGCCCATCCTCCTGCTCCTCTTCTCCCATCCTGTTCCCCCTCCCCCTCCTCGTTCACCTACGTAGCCCCCACGAATCCAGTCCAGGTCTGGTCCAAATCCGGTCCAACTTTGTTCCAAATCCGGTCGAAATCAGGCCCAAATTGGACAGTGCCGGGGGCCACGCAGGCTCCCATGGAACGGACACCAAAAGCTGGTTTCGGCCCCGCCGCTGGGCCCATTCCTCGATGCATGGGCGCCTCC